TAAATAAATAAATAAATAAATAAATAAATAAATAAATAAATAAATACTGGTGATCTCTGGATTTACTGATTAAAAAGGGCTATGTATGGGAAGAATGGAACTATGTTATGTAATTTGGGAGGGCAGAAACAGTATTAACTGTGTTTATAACTGCTGCAAAGAACAGTGGAAGTTGCTTCTTTAAATATTTTATTTTCTGGATCTATACTGTTATTTACTTTTTCTTCTATCTTTCTTTCTTTCCTATTTTTCTTTTCATATCTTTTTTGCTTTTCTATATTCTTTATTTTTCTGTAGCTTTTAACTTTGTAAAAAAAATTCTTCAATAAAAATTATACAGTATATAAAAAAAGAAGTTCATTTAAATGACAGTTTTATGAAAAATAATAGGAAAAAACATTTAAGTAAAAAAAAACCCCTCCTATCCAAATTTAAGTGTGTCTATATTTGAATCAAAATGTGCTATTAAATGTTATTCTTCAGTTTGGTATGAGTGGAGAATTTCATATTGGCAATAATGTTTATGCTATCTTGCTACTAAAATCCTTGAAGAGATGTCTTTCTGGAGTTAGTATAAACATAAAACCTCATTGTGCAGCCTGCTTTCTCAATATATTTTTTATGCAGTTCAGGTTGTTGTATGAAATATTCTTTACAATGCTTTGGCAAAAGACTGATGAAGTCATTGAAAGTTCACTCATACATAATATTCAGTAGTGATGCTGAGTCAGAATTTAATATTTTGTTCTTGCTGCTTTCAAAATAATTTTCAGTGTGTTTTCAAGTTCACCCTTGAAATTGCTATCTTATTTCTCATCCAAGTCCTGGACATTACAAGGAATTAGCAAAAATGAAGGATTGATTCTGTCTCCAAATGCTTTAGGGAAAGTATCTCATTCACATTTTATGGAAAATCAGCACATTGTCCTTATCCATTTATGTTTCCCCTTTCTCCTGTCTTTGTTTTCCCAGTAACTCTCCTGAAAAAGAGTATTACAATATCTTCAAAAGTATGGACAGGAAAATTTAGAATGAAAATTAGTGTGGAAAGAAAATGGAACTTCTACTGGAGATGTCTGTCTTTTTTTACCTGGCCATATTTTGCAAATCAGATCCTTTCCATTAAAGGATTTTCCTGCTACCTTTAACTTTTGAAAATAATAATAATAATAATAATAATGATGATGATGATGATGATGATGATGATGATGATGGTGGTGGTGGTGGTGGTGGTGGTGATGATGATGATGATGATGATGATGATGATGATGGTGGTGGTGGTGGTGGTGGTGGTGATGATGATGATGATGATGATGATGATGATGATGGTGGTGGTGGTGGTGGTGGTGGTGATGATGATGATGATGATGATGATGATGATGATGGTGGTGGTGGTGGTGGTGGTGGTGATGATGATGATGATGATGATGATGATGATGATGGTGGTGGTGGTGGTGGTGGTGGTGATGATGATGATGATGATGATGATGATGATGATGGTGGTGGTGGTGGTGGTGGTGGTGATGATGATGATGATGATGATGATGATGATGATGGTGGTGGTGGTGGTGGTGGTGGTGATGATGATGATGATGATGATGATGATGATGATAAAACAGGTCTTTTTCTGGCATTCTTTTCAAACATTGCCAGCCACTTAAATAATTCTTTGCTGATTTTTTTTCTTCCCTGAACAAGTTATCTTTAAGCTCAGTGTTAAAATTCCACACATATATCCATCCTTTTTTCTCTAGTCTTTCTAGGG